GAGCTGTAAACCCTTCAGGTTGCTCCATGTAGATTTCTTCATTCAAATCCCCATTTAAGAAAGCTGTCTTTACATCCATCTGGTTGTATCTCAAGATTGCGCAAAGCTGCTATCGCAATCACTATGCGAATGGATGTTATCCTAGTTACAGGTGAGTACGTATCAAAGTAATCCAGGCCCTTTCTCGTTGCCTGTACCCTTTTGATAACGAGCCTCGCCTTATACTTGTCAATAGACCCATCGGCCTTCATCTTTCGTTTAAAAATCCATTTGCAGCCTAAAGGCTTACAACCGTGAGGTAAATCTACTAACTCCCAGGTGTGGTTCTGTAAGATGGAGTCAATCTCACTTTTGATCGCTTCTTTCCATAAAGAGATCTCAGGAGAAGTCACAGCTTCGTGGAAAGTTTGAGGTTCGTTCTCAAACCATATAAGTCAAAGAGTCTGGACCAAAAGATTTGGCTGTCCTAGCCCTTTTATCTCCGTCTGGGCTCATCTAAAACCTCAATTTGATCATCACCTGGATCATCAACATGATCATCCTCACTAGCAAGCTCATCAAATTGCTCCAAAGACCTTGGAACCCCTGCATGGGTTCGGCAAGGAAAAATATCTTCAAAAAACATGCAATTTCTTGGACTCCGATTGCATTGGTATTCCTGTGTATGTCTGGAATTTCAGACTTATGAACAAGAAACCGATATGCACTACTATTATGTGCATAACCAATGAATATACAATCCACGGATTTCGGGCCTATCCTAACCCGTTTGGGTGTAGGAATCGCCACTATTACAAGACACCCCCACATTCGTAAGAATTTATACGAAGGCTTAACGCCTTTCCATAACTTATACAGGATCTTGTCCACTTCGCTTCAACACAAGTTTCACACTTGTGTTTCGTCAGAACAACCTTGTCGAACTCAAAAAACCATGCGAAAAACATGTTTACTGAGAAGAGACCTTGAGACAAGATTCTAACGAATGTCTGGAATAAACAGGACTTCGTTCAAGGTTAGCTCTTTTCCTGAGGTTAACATCAGGACCACCTTTCCCTCAACAAATGAGGTAGTAGAGTTTTCCATAAACAACTTCTCACCGTTTGTAACCGGTTTGAAAGTTGTAAACAGCTCATTCTCAAAGCAGATGTGGCGTGTAGCCCTAGTAAAACCAAAAGCCTCGCTACCACAGTTGTAGCACTTCCCAAAGAACCGAGAACCAGGTTCCCGCGGCTTCTATGCCAGCTTCTTTGCAACACCACCCCTTGGCCCCAGCTAAGAGCCTTTGTTCAAGGGGGGGGCTTCTTCCTCATCCCAGAAAATTTGCCATGCTCAATGACATTGGCCTTCACTGAGGAGGTACTCCCTCCTTTCTTTCTATTATCCTCCTCATTACGGAGTCGGATAACAAAGTTTTAAACAAATCCTTGTGTCACAATGATTATGAAACTCTCAAAATCATATCACAGTAAATACATTCCCAGAATGTCATCAACCGAATTAGGCACCTAAATATATTTGGTCCAACCTATCACTCTGAAGCCAATAGTCTTACTATTAGGAAACACAAATCCAGTGTTCGATAGTCTACTATTCGGAACTTCATAACATGGCCAGTAGTCCTATCACTAGGAATCACTAATTTCTCAGCATGTGGTCAGTAGACTTTCTACTAGTAGGAATCACAATGTCTTAACCGGTGATCAGTTAGTCACTTTACTACTAGGAATCACAACGTCCTGACATAGGGTCAATAGACTCTTTCATTACTAGGAATCATCATGTCTTGACATATGACCAGTAGCCTCTCCACTACTAGGAATCATGATGTCTTGACATGTGATCAGTAATCTGTTCACTACTAGGAACGACAATCTCATAACTGTGTAGCCAGTGGTCTAACACCTCCTAGGAACCACTAGTTTTCTATCTTTGTGATCAGTGATCTTGTACTCACTAGGAACCACCAATTTAAGAATATATTTGGAATTTTAAAAATCCAAAAAATATTCACCCACTATAACAGGTTGTCTCATCTTTGCTTTCAAGCAAAGTCACATAGCAATCACAAGGATACCAAACTAATTGCCTCTGATCAAATCAGAGAAATTTTTAATGCAATCTTATGATTTCCTTTAATCATACTTGATCTCTCAAGATCTTTCTTTAAGAAACTCGCGAGGCTAAGGTTGTCAGGTGGAACAACATTTCTGTTTGTCACCTTTTAAAGCCATTTATGAAACATCACAACAGAATTTCACTTCTGTGATTCCAAAAAATAAACTTAACCCTTAGAAAATCCCTTAGATGGAAATTTAATTCAAAACTAGTCTCACCATTTAACCTAGAATCGAACATGGTCAGGAATGTTCCCAGGAAGACTGGAGGGGTCACATCGGTCCCACTTAAAACCTAGTTAACCTTTTGACAAAACATTCAAGAGCATGTTGACTCTTAGTCCATAGGAAACAATTTAAAAATTAAGATTTCCAGAAGATAAACCAGGTTATAACAAACCGATTCCCAAGCAAAAAAAATTTGCTACCAGAATTACACCACTCATAAAAGTTAACCGGTACTCCCGGAACTAAGCCCATTATTTCTGAATAAAATCAAAAATATTTTAGCTAATGCTAAAATTTGGTTTCCCTTCTCAAAACCAAAAACACTTTGGACATAATCAAATTATAACCAAAGACTTTCTCCAAATTTGATTTTCCAACACTTTGGGAATAAAATGATAAAACCCAAAGAGTTCCTCAAACTCCAAAGGTTTGAACCAAATCCATCTTAGTTGTCATTTCTGGACAAATAAGAACTACTCTTTAGCCAAAGCTAAAACGTTGGTTTCTATCACAGAAAACCAAACCAAGTTCCAAACTTACAAACAATTTAAAAAATTGCTATAACAATTACACGCATATAAAATGCTTCAAACATTTAAATAAAATAGCCAATCCATAAGGATTCTATTTAGTCCAAAAGCCTTTCCACGCTTAGGTATTCCTATTCAACACAAACGTTAGTAGTCCAAACATTTTTGTTTTTACATCCCAAATTCTATTCATTTGGTTTTATATTTGTTTTTTCCCATTGGTATCCCTACAAAGAAAGTTAGTAGCAAACCACAACAAAATACAAACAAATAATCTAAAAAATTTAATTATAATAAATAATTGAAACCATCTAGCCAACTATTAATTATATACGTAACCAACTAATATAAGGTACCAAAACAAAATACAATTTGTAACTTCAAAATTAAATTACAACTTTAAAATAAAGTTCAATACTCATGAGTCATGAATGAAATTAATTCATAATAAACATTTAAACTAATAACTCCAAATAGATAAGTCAAATTCAAAGTTAATGCACCCAATTAAATAATTCAGATTAATGCACCTAATTAAATAATTCAGATTAATGCACCTAATTAAATAATTCAGATTAATACACCCAAATAAATAATTTAGATTAATGCACCCAATTAAATAATTCAGATTAATGCACCTAATTAAAAATTCAGATTAATGCACCCAAATAAATAATTTAGATTAATGCACCCAATTAGATAATTCATATTAATGCACACAATTAGATAATTTAGATTAATCATGTACACAATTCATAAAACTCTATAACTCCAAATCCATTAAATTATGTAATCTAGCCTAGAAAATAATAAGCATGTAACAAATTGAGACTAGAATAGAATTAGCATGTCAAAAACTGCAACATCCATAAATTATATTTTATAACCTTAAAATTCATGCAAATCATGGTAGGGAAATGATGAACCATACGCATAAAACAAGATCATACTAATACAATTAAGTATGCAAATTACAATAGAGCATTCTAATTAAACTAAGCAATTAGAGAGTACCATTGCATAATTTACAATTATTAAAATAGTGAGAAATTCCGCAACAATTCCTAGTAACATTATACAAAGCGCCTCACGGGTCGAGTGCTTGAGGAAACCCGGCGTCTGTCTCCCAGGATATGACGGTCAAAACCAGTTACGGCAGAAACACTATCTGTCTAGCTTAGCGAACAAAACAATGGCAGCACTCTCTCACAATAGGAACTATCAAGCAAACTGACTTGTAAAATGGAAGCAAAAATTTCTATATTGAAACTTGACAGGAGGGTCTCAATTTATACATGTATAGGGGAGAGAGGAAAAGCTTCTAGCCTTTAAGGCTAGTCATTAAAACACCAAGCATCCATAGCCCCTTTCCACAAAATGAAAAGTATGGATGCCCAAAGGATTCACACCCTTTAGCCAAGAAAAAAGATTTAAATACTCTTTAAAATCCTATTCATGAATCTAACATCATGAAGCAATTTCTTGGCAATTTTTTATTCAAAACCCAATGATTTTTGGCTCACTTGGACCCAACACAAAAAATGGTTAGGACCCACTTTAATATTTAATTAAAGTCACCACACTTTAATATTAAATTAAAGTCCCCAAAAATCATTTTTTCCAACAATAGATTAGATGAAATTTCAAAGAATCCAGCGATTGAATCTATTATTCATTAAATACGTATATCTTAATAAAAATTATATCTTAATTCAAATTAAATATTTTGAATTCTTTTTTATGGTGATGATGGCAACAATAATATATATAAATTTGGTCAATTTTTGCAGGTTGAAGCCATAAATGTTGTAAATGAAATGATCAAAGAGGCAATTGCTAAGAAGTTTGATGTAACAAGCCTTAGTTTTAGTTCAAACACCATTCGAATTGCAGATTTGGGTTGTTCTGTTGGGCCAAACACTTTCATTGCTATGAAAAATATCCTAGAAGCCATTGAATGGAAATACCATTCAAAAAATCTCACGACTGAGATGCTTGAATTTCAGTTGTTTTTCAATGATCATGCTTCCAATGATTTCAACACCTTTTCACTACTCTGCTTCCTGATAGGCAATACTTCACTGCTGGAGTGACAGGCTCTTTCTACAGTCGGTTATTCCCCAAGTCCTCTATCCATTTGATGTATTCCTCTTTTGCACTCCAATGGCTCTCTAAGGTACCAGAAGAGTTGTTGGACAATGGCTCTCTTGCATGGAACAAGGGAATGATTCATTATACAATTGCCTCGAAAGAAATCGCTGATGTTTATGCAGCTCAATTTGCAAAGGACATGAATACCTTTTTCAATGCTAGAGCTGATGAGATTATAGTTGGAGGAATGATGATATTGATCATGCTAGGTTTCGCTGATGGCGTTCAATATTCTCAGGACCCAAGTTGCCCCTTTTTTTATGCTTTCAACCAGAGTCTCCTTGATATGGTGAAATTGGTGAGTCAAACTTAAGTATTATTCAATGAAGGAGGTTAATATTTGGACTAGAAGTCTGAACATATACTTAGGATCATATAGAGAATGAAGACAAATTGAACCAAAAATGTGTTCCACTTTTTTTTTTTTTCTTCTTAATTTTAGTTTCTCTAATTTTGAACTCAATTGGAAAAATAAATAAATAAATTACGACTTCCCTTCTTGGTTATAGCGATCCCGGATTTACCCTTGTTGTATAGTGATCCGGACATGTGTCCGTGGATGTTGGTAGTTGATCATTATCTTGTTTACATCCTTTCTTACTTTGTGTTTGAGTTATAGGATGTGTTGGGCGGGTTTGTTACAGGTTGGTTGAGTTTAGAAACCAAAACTAGTTGCCCAGATTTTGGCTTGTCTGCTCGAGCGGGGGTTTTCACGCTCGAGCGGGGAATACACCCATCCAGTATTTCCTGTGCAGCGTTGGACGCTCGAGCGGGGGATTGGCCGCTCGAGCGGGAGGTTGTGAGTGACGCTCGAGCGGGGCTTCGAGCGCTCGAGCGGGGCTTCGAGCGCTCGAGCGGGAGACCTGTTGTGTCGAGATGCTGGGAGTGTGCATCCGGCGCTCGAGTGAGGGATTGGCCGCTCGAGCGGGAGTCTGTGAGTGACGCTCGAGCGGGGAGTTTGACGCTCGAGCGGGGAGACTTTTATATAAAGCCGAGATCCGATTTTTGGATCACTTTTTCAAGATATTTTCTCTCTCTTACTTTTCCAAAAAAGCCATTTTCAGAGCTTCTCACTCTAAAACCGGCCCTTCTATCGTAGATTTGATCTAGTAGGAGTGATTTGCTCATTTTTGGCCTTTACAAAAAAAGTTGTTGATCGTCGGGGGCTACATTTCAATCTGAAAATTTCGGGATTTGGAGCACGTTGGGTTTTGTCATCTTCTCCCTTGGGGCTCCGGATTTGAGGTAGGGATATCCTACTCCTCTTTATGAGCTTTGTCTTTAAATTTTAGTATTTTGAGATGTTGGGGTTGGTTTGGTAATTTGTGAAAGTTTGGGGGCTTTTGTGTAAATTTACAAGAGTTGGGGTTTTAACTATATAAAACCTAGATGCATGTTTGGCATGGAAAAATGTGAAATTAATGTGAAGACATTAATGAAAATGAAACCTAAGGGTTGTAATGTAGATTATGGAAAATGCCCTAATTACATTGGTTAATTAATTTGCAAAATTAATTATGAGAAATGAGGAATTGATTTGGGAAGTCATGGGATAAAAGGGTGTAGTTGGATTATTTATCACTCACCTAGTGGAAATGTTGATTTTATATCCATTTGTTGCATTTATTTTCTGTATAGAAATAACTGCTTTGGGCTATCGGTGGAGGATAGTCGTGATTGTTGTAGACAATGCATGATGATTAGACAAACT